AGATATACTTACTGCACAAATCCCAAACAATTATCGTTTAGGTTTGTCTGCGCCCGACTCTCTAACTCAAGTCCAAAACTATTATCTTAAAATTTTCTTAATTATTATTTAAATAAATGGATTTATATTCTTATAGCTGTATATAATATAAGGGGTAGCTGCGCAGCGCGTGACGCCACGCAGGACCAGTACGATCTCTTGCGCGTAAGTAAGTAAATTTGAGAATTATATGGATTATTGATTTATTATAGTGGACATGTATCATAATTGTACATTATTATTTTGTCTAAGAATACAGATATGGGGACGTCCACAGCAAAAGGGGGGATGGGACTATATATTATATAGTCCCATCCCCCCTTTTGCTGTGGGCGTTCCTATATATTTAAAGTAGTTCTTAGTGATTTAGTATGGTTTTATGGAGATGGTTTTTAATAATATTTTTGTAGTATATTTTACTTACTTTATAGTAGGTTTATTACTGAAGTGAGTCAAATATTTGATTTGCTTGGATGGGTATTTTCTGACTCAGGTAAGGGTTGATGTTATATAAAGTAAAGTACATATATCGTTATTATTAAGTTAGTATAACCGAAAATATTTGAAGTCATTATGATGTAATTATCAAATTGATCTGTTAGTGATCGATATTTAGTAGTTGAAAATATAGCATATTTTAAGTTAAATTAAAATCATTATTGATTATGATTACTACTCATTTGGAAGTTTATGTTAACTTGTGGTTATTACGATATAATACATCATCGTTATTTTTTATTGTATAAATAAGGGGATTGTTGTTAATAAATGGTAGATTAAAGAAATTTTTTTGTTCTTTTGTATTCGTAATACGCATAATGCCGTGTTACGTTGATACGATTGTTAAAATTAATCAAGTTCGTCAGTCAGATAAAGAAGAATCGAAGTTAACCGTTGTGTGGAGAATAGGCACTTATCCTGTTGAGAGTGAAAATTGCGATATGGAGATGGTTTTGTTTGTTCCAATTAATGAATTTGAAAGAGATTGTAATATGCAGTCTGTTTTCGAAAAAAATGAATATTACAGTGTAGGCGGGAAAGTTGTACCCGGAAGTTATAACGGCAAATTAAGATTAAAAGTAATTAGTAATTTTGTTTATTGTATATATATATTATTAATAATGTTAATTGTAGTTTAATATTTATTAATTTAGATGACTGTTGCATCATCGACTCACCTTACGATTAAAAGGGATCCTGGTTCGAATAGGTGCCCACTAAAGGTTTCATTAGTTGGTGTTGCTCAAGATACAGCGAAAGAGGTTAATGATGAAAATGCAATTGTCAGAGTATTAGTGAAAGATTATGTTGGGCAGAGTAATAGTTTTATTGTTAATATTGTATTTCCGTACACCAATAGCCGGTTTAAGCACTTGATGAATTCTCTTCGGCCGAACGAATCTGTTCTTTTTGTTATAGGTCAGATGGAAGTAATACAGGAAGATTTGTATGTATATGCTGTCGAGACTTCTTATATTGACGTTTATTCTGTGGACAGAAAAAAGACTCAAGTAGTTCCCAAACTACGCCTGGATTATACAAATCAGTTCGGTCAAGACTTTTAAATGCTCATCAAAGTGTTAGCGAAAATTTGTCTAAAGAATCTCCAGTCAAAAATTCCACTAATGACGGAGAATTGAACCAATCCACAATCGGTTCATCTATTTCTAAACTTCATTCATCTAAACGTGTAAGGGTGGAAGATGAAGATTCTGAACATGTTGATTTGGATTATGCTGAAGATGAATGCATGACTGAATGTAATGAGAAGAAATGTATAGACGAAAGCGATGAATCGGAGGGAAATATTACCAGTGAAGGCAAAAAAAAGGTGAGTAATTGTGCAAAAGCGATTAAGGGGGAAAAACGTTTTTCTGTAGTTCATAATACAAGAAAAAGAGCTGGGTTGTTTAAAAGTGAGGATGCGGAGTAGATTTTCGAATGTATGTTATTTGCTTTTTATCATGTATGTTAGTATGCTAGTATTGTTTCTTTAAGTCTTCAATAAAATTATTTTATTATATGCGATGTAATTTGGGTTAATGCAGTTTGAAGTATATATAATTTGGTTAATGCACTATCATTACTGATATAGATTGATAGACGAATTATAATGATATATTTATCAGCGCAATTATGAGGTATAAGATTTTGACGAAGTATATAAGGCAAATTAGAATGTTACATAGTATTGTAAATATTTATTAATGGACGTTATGTAATATGAGATTTCAATACATAAATTAATTAAGGATGTGATAAGTATGGTGTTATAATGACGTATTAAGTGGTTTTTTGCGATTTCGTGTAATTACTGAAATCGGTCTGAAATATAAAATTGAATTGTATACAGTAACCCTATCCGTTTTTTATATATTTTTTAATCATATGATTTTTTTTCTTAGTTGAATATATACAAGTAATATTTGGTTAACTGATTGATATAAGTACAGAAGTAATATATCGAAATAGTTTAATTTTAATAATTACTAATTTTGTTCTTGTAATAATGATTAAAGTTTAATTCAGAGGTGTTCATAATAATGTACATGATTGTGATATGTTGTTTAGTAATATGTTATGAAAATAAATGTTCGGTTATTTTTGAATACTTTCAAGGCGTTTTAGTTCTTTTTTAAGGTCAGGATCGATCGTTACATTAAGTTTAGATTGATCGAAAGGTCGAAGTATCATAATATTATTTAATTTTTGAACTTGGGATAACATTACGTAGATACCAGCTCCTATTTTTCCACCATCCAAATCAACAATAACTTTTTTTAATGTAGTGCCTTGACACTTGAAATCAGTAATTGCAAAGGCTGGGGTGACGGGTAATTGAAATCTCTGGAATTCTCGGGTTATATCTGATCCATCTCTTATTTTACATTTGTATTTGCATCTTTGTTTAATGGGGTAAACAGGGACATGATTAGGTGGAAGATTAGTATACGCGCCTGGTTTGTGGTTCAGAAGTTCTATTATTACGTATTTAGATGGTTTATTAAGAGTGATACTTTTTTCCCCATCAATATTCACAATTTCTTCTATTGGTGATTCAATGTCATATATAATTCTGTGAAGTATACCTTGGGCTCCATTTACTATACCATCATTAGTACATATGTTGACTGTTAAGGCTATTTTCATGCCTATTGATAATGGTAATATGCCACATAACGGGTTGGACTTTGTGTTTGATACACTTAAAAGTTTCTGTCATATGTTGCCATAGACCAGTTTGCTTTTATATGTATCTTCAGCATATACGTAATAAATCATCTGATTATGATTTTTGGCATGTTCTATTGTGACTTCGAAATTGATCTGAACTCGCAAATCATTTCTTCGAACTAGAAATACTACATCTTCTCATTCCGAAGAGTTTATTTCATTTTCTGTTGCTATACAGTTATAAAGGGTTTCGTATTGGGTCAGTGTCAAATAACCATGACATAGATTATTTAGTATGATCATATAAGTTGGGTCATCAATTTGGCGCATTTGCTTTTTCAGTATAATTATATTCTTTACTAATTTCCACAATTCTCTACCATTAGTGTTAATTAATACTCTAACATTCATAGGATCTGTAACTCGTGTTTGATTTCTTAAAGAATTCATTGTTTTGTCAATACTACTAGGTCAGTATAGAGGTTGGTCAAGTACTGGCGGAAGTTGTAGAAAGTTACCAACAAAAATTATATTTAAGCTGGCAAAAGGTATAGTGTCATTTTGAAATTTTTTTGCTTCTTTAATGCATGCATGTAATCTTGTTATAAGTTTTTGTCTTATCATAGAGGTTTCATCTATAATGATATAATCTATTTTCGCCCAGTGTTCTTGAAGCATTTTTTTTGTTGTTCTTTAAAAAAAATTATATTTATGACTGTTATCATCATCAAATTTGAAGCTATATAAAGAATGAAGGGTACAGCCACCAATATTTGATGCAGTAACACCAGTTGGTGCACAAAGAGCAAGAGTTTCTCTTTTACCAGTTCAGTCAAAGTATTTAGTAATAGCTTCGATAACCTTTGATTTTTCTGTGCCTCCGGCATCACCCAAATACATCAGTAATTGAGGTGGTTTGTTAGGATTATTAGAATAGTTTTTTTCACGATGATTACAAATAAGCAAGAATGCTTTTTTTTGTTCATCATTAAGGTTAATTGAAATTTCTTGAAGTAAATTAGTTGGTCTTTGATAAGATGGATGAGGCAAGAATTTTGCAAGGTGGCAGTTTTCAGAATTAATATTATTTACTTGCTCTATTCTCTTTCTTAATGTTGTAATTTCTTGCCATGTTTTAATAAGTTGATCGTCATGTATACTAGAGAATCGGGTTTGTTCATCTTGATTATAATATAGGATTTCAGCCTTTTTTTGAAAATACGATGGTTTTTTTTATTAAATTTATTTTTAAATATAAATAAAGCATGGCATTATCGACAAAATTTGTATTATGTAGTCCTGAATGTATAATATTATATGGGCTTAATAAAGTTAAGTTATCAGTATTAAAGTTACTTTGATCATTGAATATTAATATGTTTGCATCACCAGTATTGTCATAACCTGTTATAAATTGTTCTATTCGTTGGATTTTCGTGATTTCTGGGTTTTTATAGGCCATTTGACGTAATTGACAGTCTAGAATCATTTCTTCAATACATCGATGTAAGAGTTCAATATTGTTAATTATAAATTGTAACCGAGCTGATAAATTTGGATCTTGTAAAAAAGCATCACATGCTTCATGCCATGAATTGTATTCAGTTATTAGTTCATATACAGTTGTCTATGATTTAAATAGTGAAAGAATATGGAGACTATAATGTTCTGTATTTTCTAGATCGTGTTTATGCAGTATAGATTTTTCACACAACATGGGTATTTTTTCATTTTCATGACACCAATGAATTTGCATATATGTTGCATGTTGCAAATGTATTATACTATGGTCACAAGTTTCATCACACTTTTTTTCTTCACCTAAGAACAAGAACTGATCTATTCTTGTTGCATGTCTGTCACGATTTTTTTGTCTGTTTAGTTTATTTAGTTCATTATTATTGATTTTTATTTTATGAATTGTTGCAGTGTAATCATATAGGTATATATTTTTTAATTGTTTGCCTCAACACATATAATCAATTCATAAATTTACTGCATTTATTTGTCTACCCGAGTTTATTATTGTAAACATTTCATTATTGGTAAGATCATGTTCATTATCATCTTGAACCAGTTCATCTTCACTATCAGTGTCCGAATCTTCTAAAAGTGTTAACTCAGACAAATTTTTGATTGGATACTGTGATGTCAGATATGTCTCAAAAGAATCAAGGTATATCATAACAAATTTGTTCAGGGTATAGTGATCTTTAAAACCTAAGAGATAAGCTAATACTTGAGGGCTAGTAATTTTTGATTGTCCTACAATTTTGTTGAGACATATTGTAACGAGTTTTTGTGATCTTGATACATATTCATTCGAATTTGATACTTTAGCAATAAAATTATTTAGGGTTACAGCATACATAAGAAATGAATTATAAATGTTTGTATCAGATTTTGTTATATAATCTGTAATATAGTGAATATATGCAAGTGCTAATTTGGTGGTTGCAATAAATTTGATGTCATTATTTCCACAACAACTAGCTGTTATGTAAGGGTTGTGGTTATTAATATAAGCATTTTGACATTGAGAGTAATAATCCCAAGTTCAAAATAAATTTTTTCAGGTAGTTTTACTAATTCATGAGAAAAATCAAAATGGTAATCAAATGTTTGACCATGATAATATTTCTTACATGATTTAGTATACCTATGAAATAGGATATGTTTTGCAATTCTAAGAATATCAAGACGAAATTTTTTTTCAAAGTCTGAGATTGTGGGTTTGGAATAGGAAAAATCGATAAATGCATTTTCCTCTTTTGATTAGTTTTTGATGTCTTGTATTTGGCATTTAACATTTCATCAATTAAGTAATTACCATCTGGAAAAAGATAACTGATATTTTTTTTTATGTTTTCATTTATATAAACCATTAACCAGTCTCTAAAATCTTTAAATTTGAGACGATTCTGTAGTTCAATAGAGTTAAGAGTACCTTGAAGCCATATTAATATATAACAATAAGGTGTTCCATAATCTTGGTATTCTACTACTTCATAGTAATTTTTAATTTCACCTAATACACCACCTTCAGGTTTTTTATAAGCAAGAATATATTTGATTATTTTTTCTATCATAATATCAAAATATTTCGCTACTGCAGTCAGATCAAGGTGTGCTAATCTAGCTCTTTCTTTTGCAGTTGAAAAACTCTCAGGAACCAAATTATTAATATCGATTTCCTTTCCTGTATACATCATTACGATTGGACTGTGAAGGTCTGCAGGATTAATAGTTATAAATAAGAAAGGTGAACTATCCGTATTATAACAGCACAAATTTCACTACAAAGAATTTTTCATGATTGATGTGAGCCTGTAATTTTTTCACCAACTAGATTTATGTTTTTTAATAACTCAAGAACTGCTTTATTCATTATCGGTTGCTTATTCTGTTCTTGTTTAATCGCAATTTTTATATTATTTATTGTAAGTTTTAAGATTAATTTAGCCAATTGTTCAAAATTAGCTTGCTTTGTTATTAAGTGTGCACCAAATGCAATTTCTCTTTTTCGTAATATATCAAACACAGCAAAAATAAATGAGCAATGAAACCTAAATTTAGGATCACTAAGGTGCAACAGATGTTTAGCATATTGTTTGAACGATATGTGTTGTTTGCAAAAATTGTCCTCATGACCACCAATCTTATAAGGAAACAAGGTGGGAAATGCAGCAGAAAAAAGTGTTGGGTCTGTATATTTATTTTTAGGTTTATTTAAATGAGACATTAAGATCGCATCATCACTGTCTCACTTATTATCAAAAGTTTCTTGAATTATTTTTTTGAGTAGTTTTAAAGAATGTTCCTGTTAAGCAATTAAATGATCAGCATACATCATATCTGAATTTCTTAATTCAGATGAACTGTCAACAGAATTGTATAATCCAATTGCACTTTCTTTGTTATTCATTTTTTCAATATCTTTATCACTTGAATTATCATTTATATTATCTTGATCAATCGGATCAATTACATATCCAGTATAATGTTCTATCTCTTAGGGATTAGCATTAACTATCACAGTTGTTGCCAATAAAACACTAGCACCTCATTTTCAGGTAAGGTTTCAAGTATTGTTCTATCAAGTTTAATATTTTTATATAGAATATTGTGGTTTATTAACTATTCTAGAGCTACAGCAACTTTATTTTTTCTTACACATAATATTTTTCTTAATTGTTCTTGCAATAGTTTTTCTTGTTTAACAAATATAACTTTAAGATAATCATACAACTGATAAGCAGGTAAGGGCAAGACCATAGAAAGGGAAGCTGGGTTCTGCGTAAATGTAATCACATGACCCTTTAGTTTATGATATATATATTTTCGATTAGTAAGTTGAATAAGATTTATACATATATAGCCAGCAGATATCAGAAGTTGCTCTAGTATCGTTAACACCTGAAGACATTGTGGAGTTGTTCCAGTCCACATATTTGCTAACAAAAGTATAGGAGTATTCTCAGTATCCAATGATCGCTTACAACTTTTACATACTTGAAGATCAAATAGATTTTTATCATTAATCATATTTTTTTTAACAAATCCATTTCTATCCAATAAAACCTTATAACCACTTCTATCTATATATGGATGTCCATATACAAAATCATTTTCAAAAAATGGACTTTTAAGATACTCATTAGTTTTGAGTAATGGTAAGTATATTTCTTGTACAGCAACAGTAGTTAAATGTTCACACAGAAATAGCCCAGAGCAAATTGCACAAGGTAACTCTCTAAGTGAATCACAACTAATATTATCACGGAATGTTGCCAATGCATTATTTGCAAGAGTCTTATTAACCAGACATGGCCAGTCAATATACTGTTCTTTTGATAAATTAAACTTATCATCTATTTCTAAAATATGCAATGGAACATGTGTTTCGATCACCTGTGTATCTTTTTCATTACAAGTTTTTTGTTTCTTAGCATGCTGAATTTTACATCATTTATGTTGTTGCTTTTGTTTATGTTGACGATAAACTACATGTGCTCTTCTATTAGCTTTTTGTCGTTTATGTTTTGACTTATAATTATTGGAAAATGTAAAATCGGTTTTAAAAAAATTGCATGCTTAATAATAACAAAGTTTCAAAAAACATACTTACATAGCAAGTAACAGCAGAAAATTAGTATCAAAAAGAAGAAAGTAGTTGCTACAAAACGTTAAATTATGTATAATTGAGTAGACACTTGTAAAATTATACATAAATATATAATATTTCATGTATTCTGTTTTATAATCTACACTCATGCTTTGTTAATAGACCCATTCAAAATGCAGTTAATGATAATTAAGAAATATTTTAACAAAAAATATAGTTCTATGCATGTATATAATAAGTATATAAAATCAAGTTACAGTGATCAAAAAAATATAGTCATAATGATTTCACCTTTTTATATATCGTATTCAACGATAATTCATTACAAACGAACTCAAGAAGCATGATTATATTTTTAGCAATAAATACAGTCTCACACACATAAACATTAAGTTATAATTATCAAAAAATACTGTTATAATAACTACATCTTTTTACATATCGTATTTCTAATTTATTAATGATAATTCTTATGAACGATTATACTCATACATCAAAATTAATTTATAATTATGTTTATCTATACCAAATTGAAAACATATGCGCAGTTCCATACATATATACATACATTCACATAATAATAGCTCATTATCATTGCAATAGCATACAATTAATAAAAACAAAAAAGCATAATTCTTTCTAATTATATACAAGTAAATGAAAATCACCACTCCTGCTAAATATAGAATTCTCAAAAATCCGTATAAACGACATTAAAAAACTTGAACCAGTCCATCTCTACCACATTTCATATTATATATAAAATGTGATCATACTGGTATATATAACAGAAATTCTATTTTGACCTGGATTACTAAACTACCCAGTATTACCAGAAAAATTAGTATTGTCATAGGTTTAATGTCAAGTCCAGAGATAGGGGCAAATGCGACAGATTGTTGCTAGAAAAAGGGTTATGCCACATAATGTTTCTCAAAGATAATAAAGGTTGTTTAATGATTTGGCACAAGGTTAAGGCGATCATTTAAGGAGTGTTACAAGATAAGTACTACAGTTCTTAAAGAGTATTATTGTATTAGCAGTTCAAAGAGTCTTTATTAATAATTTTATTAATATTTTGTAGGGGCTGTACAAGTATATTGTTAGGGTTATTCAAGCTATATTGAACTATGCCAGACTATACTAAGATACCTTTTGGAAGAGGGGAAATTCCACCTTTTTTATAATGAATTTTACTATGAGAAGAGCCTGTACAAGACCACAACTCTTCTTATTATTCCTTATACTTCCCAACCTTATTTATTATAACCTTTAACCCCTTTCACACAGCCTTTTGTTACTTTAACATTTCTTAAAGCCTTTATAGTACTGATGAGAAATGTTTCAGTTATTCGATCCTGAGGCCAGAACCCATTGTATTGTCTTTAATCGCACCCTTTTGACATCACCTTACACCTAACCCAAGTAAGGCAGATGAAGTCAATATTCATTTCCAATGCAACAAATTGGTCTAGGTCAATCTTACTTTAATTGGAGAGGGTGGTAGGGTCCTGCATGGAGGCTTGTATACTTTCATATAGTTTCTTTTGGGGTCAGGCTCACATGTTTCAGATGGATCATCATAGGCAACTCTAATTAGATAAGTATGCCACAATGATGTCCATTTCACAGGTTCTATGAGATGTTGGTTTTACCTTTAACATTTCTTCCTACCTTGATTTTTCATGTCTTATAAAAAAGGTTTACAGAGGTCAAGTTCATAGGGCATCTTTTGTAATTCAGTTAGTAATTTTGAAGTTCAATTCACAGCCTACTCAATAAGAAAAAGATTTTTTTTTTTTTTTTTTACACTATGTTATACTATACTAACAAGTCAATTGTCAATTTCTAGACTAATCTCAAACAACTAACTATGAGTCACATGACTTCAATTCAAAATGAAAAGAATTCAACATAACAGAAATAATAATGTTCATGTCTAAGACAAAGGGTAAAACCCCAACTCACATGTATGGCTGTTATATACAACTAAAAACTTATACACAGATTTGAAACAAAAAAGAATAAAAAACAAAATACATTCATATTTAAAAACGAAGAGTATACCAAACTTTTGTTATACATTCCAAACATATCACTGCATATGACTATCATGACCGATCTACCAGAAAAGGCACCAGGTATAAAATTTATTATTATTATTATTATTATTATTATTATTATTATTATTATTATTTTTCTTTTTTTTATGTTTTTGCTATTTTACTCATTTGACACTTCTTTTATAATACTTCTTCATCATTATTATCTTTCTATTCATTGTCTTTAATTTATATGCATTATTCACCAGCTTATCATAGATATAGAATGGTCTTTTATATTTCAGGATGAACTTTTTACTATATGAATACCTCTTTGTAACATCTTCAAGCAAGACTTTATTCTTAATGTCGAATCCAGAGTTGATTTTATAGTACTTATCATAATAATCCTTTTGCCTTAATTGCTGTTGGTCAACCTGTTAGATGGTTTTTTCACAAAAGATGAGTACAACATTTACAAGATCGAAAGTCTTCTGCAATATGGTTTCTTTTAAGGTTTCTACTTCTTGATACAGATGGATTGGTGGTTTTGCTTCATGATCATATATCAACAGAAAAGGTGACATTTGGATAGCAGAATTTTGAGTAGTTCAATAGGCAAATAATACTAAAAGAATCAGCAAGTCTCAATCAACAATGTTTTCTACTAGTTTGGTAATAGCTTTATACAAGGTCTTATTAAAGTGTTCAACTAGGCCATTAGAATGGAGGTGGTATAATGTGGAGAAACTTTGCTTAATCTTTAGTTTTTCCAACAGATGCCTTATTAGCTTATTCCTTAAGTGTATTCTATAATGTAACAAGATTCGATTTGAACATCTATGATGACACATTATATTATCATAGATGAATTCTGCAATAGTTTGAGCATTCACTTTTTGCATAGCATGTGCTTTAGGTTAACAAGTCATGTAATCAGTGAAGATGATGATGTATCAATTCATTCTGAGTGTTTGTGACAAGAAGGCAACAAAATCTATTCTAATTTTATAAATGGGTACAGTTACTGGTAGCAGGTATAAGAGGTCTTGTTCATATGCTTGAGTTCAGCACTAATATGGGTTACATGTTTGAATATAACAGTATATATTTACATATATTTGGGGTCAGAAGTACATATCACAAATCTTCTATAATATCATCCTTGTTAAAGTGTTTACCTAGCAGATGTGTATGCATAAATAACAATATTGGTTCAACTTCATGTTGTTGCAAGACTTGTAATAGCCTTCCTTTATATCTTCTGTCTTTCTAATATAAGAATCCATCCTTGAAATCGAAGAAGGCACTCTTCTTCTTGATTAGTTGTTGCTAGGCTTAGTTGATAGTTGGAGGTAGATATTGCTTCTCTATATATTACTTCAATTGCTGATAGTAGATGGGATTCAGATTTATAGTTTTTTTTATATTTTTTATTGTATTTATTTTATTATTATTCAAAAATATATATATTTATATACCTATTTTATACTACTAATTTGCCACTACTTATTAAAATATTTAATGTTTTTTTTGATTTTATATTATTTTTTTTCTCTCTTTTATTATTATTATTATTATTATTATTTTATTTATTTACTTATTATTCTTTTTTTTGTTTGTTTTTTAATTGTTCTTGCTTTTGTGATGAAAGAGGTCAGAACATCTGTAATCTGATCTGAATTTCATTTATACAATAACAGATTTTTTTTTTGTTTATTTAGTTCTCGCCTTTACTAATCCTTCTTTTTTTTTATTTTTATTAGCAGTACAACAGCACACTTCATTTAGGGGCTCTCTAATTTAGGATAATGCATTTGCATTATTATAGATATGTCTATAATAGTAAATTATTTTGAAGTTATAAAGCTGCAGCCTTAATATCCAAAGAGCTCATCAACTACTCAATGCAGAAGTTTGGAGTCACTTTAAGACAGAATAATTAGTTACTATAATGAAAAGGTCCAACTTAATGTAATGGTAAAAGTATTCAATTACCCAAAGAACAGCAAGACACTTATGTTTGATGGTGGTGTAATTTATTTTGGCCTTTGTTATTCTATAGCTTGCATATGCGACCATGTATTCATTAACTTAATCATATTTTTGTGCCAATATGGCATCTAGACTAAACCCAGAAGCATCTGCATGAATTATGAATGCCTTATCAAAATTCAGATAGCATAAAATCAGTGCATCTATTAACTGTTATTTAATTTATTGAAGACATCATCTTGATCTTTTTTTTACTCGAATTTGATGTTTTTTTATAATAACAAGTGCAAATAATATGCTATAGAAGTGAATTTAAAAATGAACTTCTGATAATAGAAAGCTATTTCTAAAAAACTACATAATTCACAAAGAGACTAGGGGACAAAAAAGTTATGAACTTTCTCTACTTTTCCTTTGTCAGGGTGGATGCTCTCTCTACTGACAATATAATCTAGAAATTGCAAGTAAGGTTTAAAAAAAAAGCACTTATTCAAGTTTAATTTTAATCTTATATTTCTTAATTTAACAAAAACAGTAATAAGGTAATTAGTATAGTCTTTGAATGTTGGCAAATATATGATAATGTTGTCAAGGTATATGACAATAATTTATTTAAGAATTTTGTCAACACTTTATTCATCATTCATTGAAATGTGGCAGAAGTGTTTATCAGGCTAAATGACATTACCACAAATTCATATATCACAAAATTCATAATGAATGTAGGCTTTTCCCTATTAGTATTTTTATATGAACTTGTCAGTATCTGGATAGCAAATCCAATATCAAAAACCAAGTGGCTAATCCAAAAACTTCTAAAAGATCATCACATAAAGAAGAAAAAATGCATTTTTTTTTGTAACTGAATTAAGCTTCTGATAGTCAATATAGAGGCATAGTTTGCTATCTTTTTTCAGCACAATGACCACACAAAATGCCTATAGGCTAGTACTTTCTTTAACTAAACCTTTTGCTTTCAACTTTTCAATTTCATTCTTTATGAAGCTGCACATACTAGGAGCAGCACATTATAGAACTTGCTTAATTGGAAAGGCACTTTCAGTATTTATTTTGTGAATGTATACTGATGTTTGTTCAAGATCATCTACAGTTTCAGCAAAAATGTCTACTTCCTGACTCAATATATTGTTTATGTAGTTCTTTTAATTGTTCATTATAGCTTCATCATCAAGGTTTTTCTTTAACTTTTTGATTACACTTTCTTCTTCTTTCTCAGTTTCATCTACAAGAACACTTTTAATATCAGACAGATACATAGTGGGACTTTTATGATAAAACCATGGATTGTTATACAACTTCAACTTGCTACATTGGTTAGTCAAAAACCTGTCTGGTTTGTCTAAATTTTTATCATTGAATTTAAAGTCATCAAATGGGTCTTCATCATCTGGCTTTTGCAACTTCTCAGACTGACTTTTATTGCTAGGGGTGCTGGTAGAATTTCTTCTTCATAAAACATAAGTATTTCCATGAATTTACTCTGGCATTGTATATACAGCTTTCTTTTATTAGCATGCAAATAAGTGCCAGTTTGACAAAACTAATTCATACTTAACAGAAGGGTCTGTTTAGTTGATTTTATAATCTGAAAAGTGGTTGAGACCACTATACTGCTCATGACCAAATTAAGGTTAATTATTTTTTCAAGAGACCTTACTTTGGCTCTATTTGCAATGATGACTATTGTTGTAGAAGGTTCATCAATCTTTAATTGCAGTTTTTTTACTATTTTATTCAAGATTATGCTAATAGCAGCACTTGAATTGAGCACAGCCACTATGTGGTTTTCTTTAATTCTAATGTGGCAACAGGCAGTGGTGATTTTTGCAATTGTGAAGGCTTGTATAGTCATTACTTCTATATCAATTGGTTCAGGATCCTGGATTGTTACAGGTACTAAGAGCCTTTTTATTACATTTGACAGGTTCCATTTTTGATCAGAATATTGCAATATTTGACCTAATGAAACATTGGCTTTCATATTTATCAAATCCTATACAATGTTATACAGTTTCAAATTATCAACCACTGAAGGTCCTCTATTCCTATAGGGTACTTGTGGGGTATCTACTAGTATGGATACTGCTAGAACAGACATTACTAGAGTAGGCATTACTAAAGCAGATATTACTAGGACAGACATTATTGAGACAGTTGTTACTGGTAGGTTTTTACTTGATAGGACCATGGCAGACACAATTTCAGAGGCCTGGTTAGGATGAGATCCTTTATTAGTTGGCATAGGCACTATTTTTCTATAGCAGCTAGGTCTTTGAGTAATGTAATATTGATAACAGATGGCAGATGCAGTAAAGGCTTCATTTTTATTGATGTTTTTGTCTGGTTCGTCAACTACACTTATGTGATTGGCATTTCTTGAACAGGAGAGAATTTGGGTTGGTGTTGCAGCATGATTTATGTGAACTTAAGGTTGGGCTTAAGATGTTACTTGATTTTGCATTTGGGGCTGATTTTGGTTTTGGGTTCTTTTCAACATACAATTGCATGAGATATGTCCAGATTCTTCACAATTGTAACAAGTCAGATGGGCATTGTTATTGCTATGATTACTATGATTACTGTGGTTACCTGATTGTTGTTAGCTCAGAATCTTGCTTCAAAATACATGTCTAATATAGTTGTCAACTTTTCATACCCAGTAGTTAGTACTTGCATTTGTTGAGTTAATCGAGTAACTTCACTATTATGTGCTTTGTCCCTTTCATCTTTTTTATTGTAATATTCTTAGCTTTAATTTTATAGGCACCTTGTATTGTAGCATTCAAACTATCAGGGTCTGCAATATCTAACCATGCAGTGGTCTTGGTTTTAAGGCCACTTAGAAACATTTATATAATATACAATCTGGCAAGCTGATTTCTAGGATCCACTTTTCACAACTATTTCTTAAACTTGTATGCATATGAATTCACTTACTCAGACAGCTGCTGTTTCAGTTCATTTATATCAACCTGCCACTTGTGCCATTTTTCAAAGGTTACGAAATACTAAATAAACAATTGAATGAAACTTTCATTTAGATGGGTTTTCCTATTCCAATATACCAAATTATCTTTTATTTCATCATGCCAACTTGTAGCAATTTCATATAAGTAACCAAAGGCTATCTTTATCTTGCATTCAGAAGATCAATTATTGGCATCAGCTGCATGATCGAAGGCTTCTACCTACTCAAAAAGATCTTTTTCTTTATTTTCATAAAAAGTGTTTACACAGACTAAATTGGTTTAATGAACAGGAGGTCTGATGGCAGCAACTTCTACAGTTACTTCTTTAAATCTAGTAGCAATTTCTTGCAAAATTAATTTAAGCATGTTTAGGTCTTATACTTTGGCTTGTCTTACATCATTGGCTTGATTGTTTCTATTTGGCAAAGAACTATTCACAGAGATATGGTGACTTCCAGAGAGATGGTTATTGTTGAAGTTGATAAATTGGCATCATCAAAAATGTTGAAAGAATTCCTATAATTATTGGATTTCTGAGAGTTTATAGTTTCAATAGGTATTTATATAAAAGAAAATTTGCTATATATTTTTTTCTTGATTATTCTTGTTAAAATAAAAAAAAGAGATTAATAATCATATTTTTAGCCTTATTTATATTAGAGTTAGTGTAGAATCTATGATAGAGCACTCTAATAATGAGGTAATTATAATTGCTATTGTTGTAAATTTTTTATTTGTTTGTTAAGTATTATTAACTAATTGGAAATTTATTATTTTTTTTTTGTGTTTCTCAAACATTGGCTAATAAATTTTTGGTTGTTACAATCTTACAGTTACTACCAATTATTGTCACGAGTTTAATGTTGAGTCCAAAAATTGGGGCAAATATAATATATTGTTGCTAGAAAAAAGGTTATACTATATAACATTCCTCAAAAATAATAGAGATGGTTTAATAATTTAGCACAAGGTTAAGATGATCATTTAAGGAATATTACAAGATAACTACTACAGTTTTTAAAGAATGTTATTGTATTGGTGGTTCAAAGAGTCTTTATTAATAACTTTACTAATATTTTATAGAGGCCATACAAGAATATTGTTAGAGGTTATTCAAGCTATATTGAACTATGCTGAACTATACTAAGATACCTTTTGGGAGAGGAAAAATTCTATTCTTTTTATAATGAATTTTACTATATAAAGAGCTTGTACAAGACCATAACTCTCCTTATTATTCTCTACACTTCCCAACCTTATTTGTTATAACCTTTAACCCTTTCTACACAGCTATTTGTTACTTTAATATTATTTACAGTCTTTATAATACCAATGAGAAATGTTTTAGTTTTTCGATTCTAGGGCAGAACTCATTATATTATCTTTAATTACACCCTCTTAACATCACTTTATACCTAATTCAAGTAAGGCAGGTGAAGTTATTGTCTATTTTCAAGCACAACAGATTGGTCTAGATCAACCTTGCTTTAATTAGAGAAGGTAGTGGGGTTCTGCATAAAGGCTTATTTACTTCTATATAGCTTCTTTTGAAACTGTGCATATATGATTCAAATGGATCATCATAGGCAACTCTAATTAAATAAGTATGCTACTATAATGTCTATTTTGCAGATTCTATGAAATATCAGTTTTACCTTTGACACTATGCAATTTTTACTATCACATGATAATCTATAAAATGAGTCAATAATAAAACATGATTTAGTATAACATTATGTGATCAGAAAATATAAAACAAACATTCATTTAGTCTAAAATCACTTATAACTCAAAATTTATATAATAAACCACTTTCTGCACATTAGCAAAAAGGTTTTCTTGAACTATTTTATTATTAGAGCCTCTAAATTCTAATCTTAATATAGCATTAACTCTGGTATAAATAAGCTTAAAAAATTTGTTGTATCTTATATGACAGTAAAATTTTTTCTGGTAATGCTAGGAAAGATCGAGTTATGAAAGCCTATCATGTGCTTACCAAGGCTAGTGTAGCTTATACAATAATATTATTTATATATGATATATATTACATATATATTGCATGTATAAAGTAGAATTAACTAAAACAAACATTAAATACAAAAATATATATCAAATCTAAAGCATAACTTCTTTTATGAAATTTATTAATATTCATAACAAAGTGCAAGCAAATTTGCAAAGTACTAATCTTGACATATCACAATTATCTTAATAGTAGATTTTGATAATAAATACTGTATTTATCTCAGTGATTATATGATTGAATCTGGTTTTAACAGTTTTTCAATTTGAAAATCAGGTTTTAAAAAAAATTTATAAACAGATTTATATATTTAATTAGTTATTACACTTTTTTTATATACTGAGGTTTTATAAAATTTTAAGTATCTATTTTTTACTAAATAATATATATATAAATAAATAATAAAAATAAAAAACTTAATAATTTCAAATAATTCTGCAAAATAAGTTATTTATAAAAAAATAAATAAAAATATAAAGTTATATTTTTTTTATATATTGTTAAGTAAAAAGTAAAAAAAAAAATATTTTTATTAATACTAATATTACTAAAATAAATATTACAAAATAAATATAATGGGTGTGGGTCCCATAGCTTAGTGGTTAAGCTCCCATGCCCCCACAGTCAAGGTCAACGGTTCAAGTCCGGCTGGAG